TTCCACTTGGCCATAATATATAATTATTTTACATGTTGTTGACTTGATTTACTAATATTCTGTTGAATAGTTTTGACTCTATATTCATGAAAGATACTGGTCTGTATTTTTTTCTCATAGTGCCTTTAGTTTTGATATTAGGGTACTGCTGGCCTCAGAGAATGAGTTAGGAAATACTACTTCTCCTTCTGTCCTGGGAAAAAGATTATAAAGAACTGACGTACTGTGTTCCTTAAATGTTTACAAGAATTCACCAATAAGCCCATCAGGGCCTGACTCATTTATTTGATAAGGTTATTTATTACTGATTCAATTTCTTTAATAGCTATATGCCCACTGAGGCTGTCCACTTCATATATGAGTTTTTGCAGATTGCAGTTTTTGCAGATTTTCTGTTTTCAATTTCATTAATATTTGCCCTAAATTTTATTACTTTTTCTTTATTTTGGGGTTTTGTGGTTTTTTTGTTTGTTTGTTGTTTGTTTTTGTCTTTTTGAGACAGGGTCTCACTTTGCAGTCCAGGCTGGCCTTGAGCTCACTTTGTAGACCAGGCTGGGCTCGAACTCGCAAGGATTCTCCTGTCTCAGCCTCCCAAGTGCTGGAATTACAGGCACGTGCCACCATCCCCAGCTTTATTTTGGATTTCATTGCTGTTTCTCTAAACTAGATAATGAATTTTAGATTACTTTTCTTTTTTTTTTGTTTTTTTGTTTTTTGTTTTTTTTTTCCCCGGTACTGGGAATCGAACTCACAACCTTGCACTTGTCAGGCAGGTGCTGTGCCACTGAGCTAAATCCCCAGCCATACTTTTCGTTTCTACTGTATGCACTTAATACTATAAACTTCTAAGCATTGCTTTCATTTCATTCTACAGATTTAAGTTGTATTTTTCATTTGATTCAAAAAATTCTTCACAGTTTAATGTATTTAAATAGCACACTTACAGGAATAGTACAAAAGACAGATAGTAGTAAAAACATGGACTAGCATGTAGAACGTGTCAGTAATGTATAGTGAATGGATGGAATCCTCCATATGATAAAAATGCTGCAAACACCATTTAGTTGCTGTCAATACAAAATGTATTTATTTTTAAAAAATCTCAATGTGGGCACTTCCCAGAAAAATTAACAGGTCTATTCATCACTGTTACCAAGTTGAGCTGCTGAAACGTGTTCACTGAAAGATTTTCACTTGTACGAATGCTTCACATCCCTGCATTAAAATTCAAAATTCACACGTACATGAAAATGGAGAAACTGCCAATACCTGATTTCTGTCTCTTACTTCTCACTTTCAATCATCTACTTTGGTATCTTTCGATCCCTTGTGGGAAAACTGTATCTAACGTTCAGGCCTATCAATAAAAGGAAGAAGAGAAAAAAAATTGTGAAATGAAATGTTTCTCATCATAGTAGATTCTTCAGCAGGTTCACCACATGTGTGGCGTGCTAACTGGCTTTCTTTTGACATAATTGTTGCATGTTTGGCAGGGATAGCACACAGACAGATATCTTCAAACAGGCCCACCAGACAGGCCTCACTTGCCTCCTGGAAAGCACCAGGAGTTGGGCTCCAGAAGCATAGATCTGTTTTTGAAGTCCTGAGCAATTTCTCACACCAGATGCTGGAAAGGGAGCTTGTGGATCAAAAGGTCAGCCAACTTGTGATAACATCTTACTTTCACAGAATGTCACAGTGATGATGAGGTTTCTTCACCCCTCCAATAGAGGGAGCGCTCTTATCATCCGCTTTTGTGGCCAGTCTTGTTCGGGGAGCTTTTTAGCACGGGTGGATTTGCCCTCATTCTGCTTTGTAGGAGGCCTGTGGGGACCTACCCACTTACGCCCTTCTCCTTCTGCCAGAATTGGCGGGGAGGTGCTGGCATTAGAAAACCACTGGCGGCAGAGCAGGTGCAAACCCCTTAAAGTATTTTTTAATTTCCTTTGAGATTCCTCTTTGACCCATGAGTTATTCAAAAGTATGCTATGTCATCTCCAAATATCTGGGGATTTTCCAGCTATCTTTCTGTTATTCAGTTTTACTTTAATTCTCTTGTGGCTTGGAAGTATACATTGTATTTCTTTTTGTAATGTAGTCAGGTGGGTTTTATGACGATTTAGCTTGAGGGACATTCCAAGTAACTTGGAGAAGAATGTGTGTTCTACAGCTGTCAGATGGAACAGCGCAGCTATGTCAATACGTCCACTGGATTTACAGTGCTATGGGGTTCAGATATGTCTTTCATTGTTTTCTGCCTGATGGTTATGTTCTATTTTTTTGTCTTTTCAGTACTGGGGGATGAAGCCAAGGCCTTCACTGAGCTACAACCCAGCCTGCCTCCTTTTTTTTTTCCCCTAGAGACAGGTTCTCACTAAATTGCCAAGGCTGGGCTTGAACTTGTGATCTTATAGCTTCCCTCTCCCAGAGTACTGGGGGTACAGGAATGCGTCACCTTGCCTGCAAATCTGCCCATTTCTGAAAGAGGTGCATTGAAGTATTCGTGGTCTATTTCTCCTTGTAGTTTTATCAATTTTGCATCAGGCTGGTCTCAAACTCCCAACGATCCTCCTGCCTCAGCCTCCCAAGAGCTGGGATTACAGGCATGCGCCACCACGCCCAGCAACATAAGAATTGTTATATCTTCTTGGAGAATTTATTCATCATATGCAATGCTCCGTTTTATTCCTCTTAATTTTTCTTGCTCTAAAACCCAATCTGTCTAAAATTATTTTCCCCCAACTATGAACATTACTTCATAAGTAAAATTTAGTTCCTTTTCAGTATGTCCATGAAAATTAAATCTAAAATGAACACTGCACATGTGAATTTTTAGGGACATTATGATACTAGCCACAAAATCTGTCTCATAGCCTTCCCAGCATCTTAGAGAAACAGAAACTGATAAAAATCCAAACGGCAGAAGGGGGCAGTAAAACTCAACAGAAAGCTCTGGAAAATTTTAATATTCTTCATTATTTTCTCTTCATACAAAATTTTCCAACAAATTTCAGAGACTAATAAAAGAAACTCTATACAGCAGATACATGTGGGCCTAAAATACACTCAAAAAATGAAATTGAAAGCTATAATTTTTGTATAATCAAAACTTTATTTATCATGCATGATAATCATTGTATTTTTCCAAATAAAAAAGGTTTATTCATTTAAATTCAATTTAGTTATTTAATTAAATTGTGACTGGCACCTCATAATGTACCTCTTCATTCTACTTTATCATCTCAAACTTGTCAAAATTATTTAATAAATTATATAAGAATGCTTTTCTCCTTAAGCCCATATTTGGATTTCCTTTCAAAACTAACCTCACCCTTCAACTCAGCTGCTCTTTGAATCCTTTTCTGATGTCTTGGGTACATGAAACTTTTCATTTGGTTTTGCTAGTGAAGCTATAGATTGAGTCAAGCCATTTAACTAAATAGGTGTTTTTAAATATATTTTCACAGTGATGGTTAAATTCTCGGTTTTTTTTTTTTTTGTTTTTTTCTTTTTTGGTCTTTTTGAGACAGGGTCTCGCTATGCAATTCAGGCTGACCTTGAGCTCACTTTGTAGCCCAGGCTGGTCTCACAAGTATCGTCCTGCCTCAGCATCCCGAAGCCTGGGATTACAGGCGTGCGCCACCACACCCGGCAATACCCTGTTTTAAAAGAAAGCAAAAATCAGATTAGGATTGCCATGTAAAGCTGTAGTACACTGTCAGGGTAGGAGTTCTCATGCAGCACCTAACTCAAGCTAGAACTAGTGGCTCTCATAAACTAAAACAAACTTAAATTTGAGCAGATGTAACCTACTCAAAGTGAAGCCAAATGTTGAAATTATTAAAAAGAAAGTGTGAAGGTGAAACTCCAGATAGGAATCAGTGCAATAAAAGGGAGTGCCACAGGTGGGGTGATTATCTGTGAGAGGAGGGCGAAGCTTCTTAGATGAGATGGGATTTTAGTCACGGGTGTCTCATTAGCATCCAATAATGCGCACTTTAAACAAAACAGAAAAAAAAAATTCCATGTGAGTGCCCCCCCTCCACTTTTTTTAACTCCTGTAACACTTCTACAAAACTACAAACTGAGAAATTTAGTAAAATTTCAATTTCAGGGTTTATGTCTTTTTCCATTTGGGCTAAGAAAGCAGAGTTAACTGAATTTTTTTTTTAATTCTCCACTTCTTAGCTCTTGCTATTTCTTTAAACATTTCATCTTTCCACGTGCCTTTCTGAACCACCACCTGTCAGAATCGCCCTTCTACCTAATTTCTCCTCAGACCATGTTCCAGAGTGAGAGGTTGAATGATGAGCCTTAATAAATCCAGACAATGGAAAAGTAAACGCCACGCTCTACTTGGATCCACGGCCACAGTTCACCCCTTTGGAAAAGTAGACAGAAAAGACAAACAAGACGTAAAATGTAAACATCTCATTGCTTTTATTGGTCACCCCAGTCACCAAAACGAGGCAAGCCATGCAGCGGAGGAGAAAATAATATACTAAAGCACGCGTTCTGGCACTAGCATGCGTGCGCACTCGGGTACCCCGCTCCCGAGCCGCGCGGGCGCCTGCCGAAGGGCTCACACCCGCTCCGGGGAGCGAGGCGGCTGCGGTGCGGAGGACAGTGTTACGTTCAAAGCAGCTGCGGTGCAAATTTCAAATACGGGCGGGGAGCGTAGCTACATTACACAGGAAAACGCAAAGGTCCGAGCGCGCGCCTCTGCGTGTCCGCCGCACCCGGCTCGGGGCAGCCGAGCGAGCGCAGCTTCCCGGGTTTCCAATCTTCTCACTTGCGTGGGTGAAAAAAAAAAAAAATCCTGCCCCGACTCAGGCTTACGCAACGTTTTTTGAGTGGAGAAGGGGAAAAAGCGTGTGTGTGAGGGGAGGGGGGCGTGTTAAGCGAAGGCGGAAAGGATCAGTCACGCATCACGTGGGTGGGATTTCAGGCAATAAAAGGCAGGCTCCCTGCGCTCCCCTCCAGTTGTCAAACCTCGAGCTGCAAGCGTCGGAGCTCCTCCAGGAACCCGCCGCCGCCAGCGCCCGCCCCGCCGCGAAGCCCGCAGCCAGAGCCGCTCTGCCCGCCGCGATGCTCGCCCGCGCCCTGCTGCTCCTCTGCGCAGCCCTGGCGCTCAGCCAGGCAGGTGAGGCCCCGGCACCGCCGCCCCCGCGCCTTCCCCGCGCCTTCCCCCGCCTTCCCCGAGCCTGCCCCGCGCCTTCCCCGCGCCGGCCGCGGGCCCCTAGCACGGCTGCGCGCGTCTCCGCTGCAGCCCGAAAGAACTGGGAGCAGCGCTCCGCAGTTGGGGCCCGGCGCTGGAGCTCCTGGACAGCTCTTTGCACCGGCCTGAGCCTTACACTCGCGTGCTAACAGGACAGTGGTAATTTGCAGGCTATCGTTATATAATAGGCCAGGACCTGATCGATATATGCGAGACGTGCGAGTGTGGTACCCATGGTTATTCGAGGGGGGCTGATTGTTTTAAATGCGCTAGTCGGAGCGTTCCTGCCCTGAGAAAACCCGGCTTAGTTTTTTAAAGGTAAGAAAATTTTTAGCCGGGTGTGGTGGCGCACGCTTGTAACCCCAGCGCTCGGAAGGCTGAGGCAGGAAGATCGTTGCGAGTTTGAGACCAGCCTGGACTACAAAGTGAGCTCAAGGCCAGCCTGAACTGCATAGCGAGACCCTGTCTCAAAAAGACAAAGATTTTATTTGCACTTTTTCTGCTTCTGGTTAATGTTCTAGACTCACCGGTTTTGTTTTGCTGTGAATTTTTTCTTTTTAGTCTTTT